TCTCTTCTATGCCTGAATTTCATTTGTTGGGTTTATTTTGTTGTTGTTGTTGTTGTTGTTGTTTTGTGAAGGGAGTGGGGGGGGGTCCCTTAGGGAGCACTCGGTCCAGATGACTGATGGTTCACTGAGTCCAGGTGACTGATGGTTCAGTGTGAAGACTCAGGAACCACCAGGGCCAAGGCAGCAGTGCTCAGAGGTCACGTGGCACCTGGGTTAGATGCACATCCTGTACTAGCCCAAGGGGGCCAGTCTAGCAATGGTTCACTGGCAAAAGCACCTGCCTTGCAATTGTGAGGCCAAGTCTGGCTCTGTCTACTAGTCTCTGCTGTGGGGTGCCAATAGGTTTCAACAGGGTTCATGATCTCCAGTAGAGTACAGCCAGGGGTGTGTGAGGACCCCCATAACATGTGCAGGAACCTCAAATGCACCGCAGTCATGGCTCTATGCAGAACCCACGGCAACAACAGCAGCAAAACGGGAGGAAAGGAAGGCAAATGTTTGTCTAAAGAAAGCCGACCTCCATTTCCCCAGTTGAGCAAGTAAAATTTATTCCTAACTGAAATATAAGTTGCATTTGATTTTACCAACGGGCTAATGATTTAACCACCCCCCCCCCCAATTTTTTTTGTTCATTTGTTTGTTCTGGGGCAACAACTGGCTGTGCTAACTCCTGGCTCTGTGCTCAAGAATTACTCCCAATGGTGCTTGGGTGATCATCTGGGGTGCCAGGGATCAAACCCGGGTTGGCCACATGAAAGGTCAGCATCCTACCCGCTGTACTAACGCTCCAGCCCCACTTCACACATCACTGTAAAGGCTGGAGACCACCATCGTAAGTTAAATTTGTAAATTCTTTCTTCTCAAGAATTCTCAGAGGAAGACGAATGAAAACTAAGATAACCAACCCAGAATGTTCCACAATTATTAAAAAAAAACAGGTCGAGTATTCCCTGGCAGATCCACCCTCCCAAAGGAAAATGACGGGTATCTGTCCCTTTGCTGAGTCTGTCACATCAGCAAGCCAAGGGCCAAAACCAGCAACACAAGACAAGGCCCACACAAAAGCTCATTCCATGTGAAAAGCCCTCATTAAACCCTGAGCTATATTTAGAAAAAACATGGAACAAAAGTTATATTTAGATGAAATGTTTAAAAGAATTTTACCAAAAGCAGCAAGTTTATACTGATCTTCCAAAAAATAATTTTTTTTAAACTTAACTTTTACATACAACTCTCCCAAACAGACAACTTCTCTATATGAACACAAAGACTGCAGCTTGGGTTCCTATGTGGCGGGGGAAAAAACATCCAAGAAGCATTCTGGATTATCAGCAAGGCTGCCCATGGAAAGTAGAGGAATAAAAGAACTTAAAACCAAGTCCAGGAGCTGGAGAAATAGCACAGCGGGTAGGGCGTTTGCCTTGCACGCGGCTGACCCGGGTTCAATTCCCAGCATCCCATATGGTCCCCTGAGCACCGCCAGGGGTAATTCCTGAGCGCAGAGGCAGGAGTAACCCCTGTGCATTGCTGGGTGTGACCCAAAAAGAAAAAAAAAAAAACACCCAAGTCCACATGGGGCAGAGAGAGAGTGCGGGGATAAGGCGTTTGCATTGCATGCAGCCAAACCGGGTTCAATCCCAGGCACCACATACGGTTCCTCCTAGGAGAAAGCCCTCAGAAAGTGTTGGGTGTGGCCCCCAAAGAAGCACACTTTGGAAGAGACCTATTTCATACAGAAATAGGGATAATCTGAGGAGTGAGCAAATTGACGGCACACAGCAGCTCTTAAATTTCCAACTTAGACTAAACTCGTGACTTCCTGCAATTCTACCTGGAAGTGTTCTTTTCCCAAAAGTCATTAGTATACACGGTATGATCACAAGCAAACTACTCTATCACTTTGCAGCTCGCTCTTCAAACCACATGCAAAATATTCTTTTTGGCTCTTAGGAGTCTTAGACTATTTTTGACATCCACCTAATCTGTGTTGACTTACACTTTTCCCAAAAAAATTTTAGTCAACATCCCTAAGGTAACCTCAGTAAACAAACAGATGACTCCTTTCCATGAATGAAGGTGCAATCTGGGGGTGGTGATTTGAAATAGCGAAAGGTTCACGGCAATTATCCCCTGCCCAGGGTCCCCAAGGCTCCAGATGAGAATGAATCACAGCTCAGAGACTTGGCACACTCCCCAGGTTAAGGGGAACCTCTTCTCTAAAGAGCCTCAGGAAGAGGCCACTTCCCAGCTCCCAGCCTGAGCAGAGTGGAGGGCAAAGGTAATGCCTGATGGCCAAATGAAGGGACTGGCTGGCCCTGTTGTCAGGAACTAGGCCAGTGGGTGAGCGTGCGACGGTCCTGTCGCTTGCTCTTCCTAGGGTCCTTTAGTACTACCCTGAGAATCTCCACTTAGGCTTCGGGCTTGGTATTTCCAGAAACATTAGAGCAACAGTGTGCCCCGGGGTCACCCAATTTTATACCATGTACAGACCAAAACATAGCAAAGCCTGAGGTTGTGAAACGTTGAGATGAAACCAAAACAAAAAGGCCTGGGGTGCCAAGAGAGAGACCAGACGGCAGAGCCCAGATCTCCCCCACCCTTCCCGCCACACGCTCCACTCCGCCCTGTTTCTACCTGTGTTCGTTTTACCAGGCTGGGAACCCCACAGAGGGCCATTTGTGCCTCAACTGAGAACCACATTAATTACATCAATACAAGCATAGAGAGGGGGAAGCATCCTCTCAACTCTCTATAATACAGACAATCACATGTATTTCCTTCATTTCTTCCCGAGCGGCCCCAAGGATAGGGTCCAATTAGCAGGTTGGTCTAACTGAAGGAGCCACTCACTACATGATCTTGCCTACGCACAATCTTGCTAAATCAGGCGGATACAGCCCAAGAATAGGCATATTAGGTGCAGGAGACAATGGCGGGAACTGAACTTACTTCTCTAAGGACAATTTGCCAGGGAGACAAGCTCTAGGTATGGTATCCGACAAGACACATTAGCAAAGTCCCTGATGAAGATTCACCAGGAAAAAGTGGGTATGGTGGGAACTGGAAAGGAGAATGACCAGAGCGGGGTGAAGTGCAGAAAGGCAAGCAGGGGGAACGGTCTACTACCCAGCAAGGCTCTGAAGCCCCCCACACATGCCTGGGTTTAGCCAGAGGAATCCTCAGTACCAGCAAACATCAGCCTCTGGAAAAGCACTTAGAGGGCATGTAAAGACGGCAGAGGGAAGGAGGGACTGACAAAGGAACATGTCCCCAGGAGGCAGTGATGCATATGGGCACTGGTCAACCCCTCTTGAAAGAGTCAAGGGGAGGTTCTGGGAAAGAATCATCCTAGAGGGGACATGTCTGGGAACTGCATCAGCTTTGACTTACAGCGGTGACCACCTCCCATTCTGCTCTTCCTAGACATCTCAGGCTAACTGGAGGGCACGGGGGCTTGGGGGTTGCACAGCGCACTCACACAAAGTGACAGCACCCCGACCAAACTTGGGCTGAACCACACCTGGCCCTGTGGTTTCAAGTTAGGGGCACCCTGGAAACCCAAGCCAAGCAGCTTCCCAGCAGTTTGTTCTGTTCTTTCAAGTCCTGCATCACACCTTTCATGAATGAGGAAAAGTCATGGAGAACTGACCAGGACTTGGGGGGATAGGGGAGCGCGCCAAAGCAAGGACAAAGCAGCAGGACATTCAATCCCTGCTGCTGGAAAGGTGAGGGCAGAGTGCTCCCACTCCCCACTCCCTGAGTCAGAGTTTCCCTCCCCCTTTCACTCCTACATCCCAGCGGCGAAGTCACCGAACCCAAGGCCACCCCCACAGCCACCAACTCCTGGACCATGACAACGGGGCGCGCCCCTTCAGCCGCGAGGGTTTCTCAGGCAACCCTTGAATCTGGATCATTACTCTAGGGCCTTGAGCATAAAGTTAGACGGTCGGGTCCGCTCCTAGGATGCCCCAAGTCTCATGCACCCTATCCCCCTAAAGCAAACTGGCTGGCCGCGGGCCGCAGGGCGGGAAATGCCAAGAACCACGACGGTGCGCCTGGACGCCGAGGGGCCCCGCGCGGGGAGCCGGGCACCCCAGAGGCGGGCGCGGGTCCGAGACCGCCCGTCGGACCGTGGTACTGCGGCCGGCGGGCCCCGAGTGCAGTGGCAGCTTGGAGCACACAAAGGCCTGGCCAAGTCCCCGGGCAGCGCCCCTCACCGATGCGGGGGGCGGGAGCGGAGAGCCAGCGAGGGGGCGCTGGGATCCACCCTCATTTGCACGTCGTCTGGGGCCCGGTCAATTTGCTTAATCACGGCTCTAAATGCCAGCGCGCAGCACACAATGCGCGCCCATTAACAGGTTTAAAGTGTCTCAGCGCTTGCTTTAAATGAGAAAAGCCGGCAACAAAGGGGGAAAAAGCCAAGTTCCTCAACTTGAAGAATGCCTCGGGTCGCCCTCGAAATCCTCTCGGCGAGGTTAAAATCCTGAGCGCCCCCGAAAACTAGAGGCCCCGCGAGAGGGCTGGGGGGTGGGGCCGGGGGGCTGCGAACAGGCCGCCGCCGACACCCCGGGTCGCGCTCGCCCACTGCAGCGCGAGTGGGGGGTGGGTGGGCGGGGGGCAAGGTGCCCGGGTGCCACGGAAAGCTGAGCGACTTCCAGAGAAGGAAAGTGAGACCCCCCACGCCCCTCCCCCGCACAAAAGCCGGCACAGATCCAAGTTCTCAATTTTTCTGGAGCCCAGGACATTTCCCAGAAGCGGACCCCAAAGCCTCTCCCCTGCCGGAGGGAGGGGAGAGATTTAAAGCAACTTTACTTTCACCCGGACGTCGGCCGCCGCAGAGTAGCTCAACTCCGCGAACAAGTTCGGTCCGGGATCCCCACGGGCCCGCCCCATCCCCCACCCCATCGCGGAGCCCGGGGCGGGCGGGGGGGGGGGGCACAACTCTCCGGCCCGGCCCCCCACCCCCACGCCCGCGCCGGCGCGGCCCGACGGGCACTCACCGTGCGCGCTCCGCCGGGAGACAGGGGTCCGTTGGGGAGGTACGGGCTGCTCAGGTCCGGGATCATCAGGAAGGGGTACCCAGGGTAGGGGGGCCCCTTAAAGAACGCGCCTTCCTGGGGTCTTCTCACTGCGGGCGGGACCAAGGCGAGGCAATGAGGCCCCCGAGCCCCGGGGCTGCGCCGCGGCAGCGGAGCCCCGAGCCCCCGGGTGCCCCCGCGCGCGCCCCGGGAGGGCTGCGGCCGGAGGGGCGGAGGACCCGGGCACGGCCGAGGGCGCGGGCGGGGCGGGGCGGGGCGGGGGCGCCGATCGCCGCGGGGCCCCGAGTCGGGGGCCCGCCCGGGCCCGCACGTACCTTCGGCGAAGTAGTCCCGCGGCTTCTGGAAAGCGTCCCGGGCGGGCTGCGGGCGCCTCTCCGCCTGCCGAGGAGACACAAAGGCGAGGGCGCTGAGCGGGCGCGGGGCCGGACCCCGGCGGGGCCGCCGCGGGCACCGCCGCAACTCACCTCCGAGTCCGAGCTGCTGCTCTGGTTCTCCGACTCGTTGACCAGGGACGACTTGACCTCGTCCAGGTCCCGCTGCGCCGAGGCGCTGTCGCTGCTGGGCTCCTGCTCCTCGCCGCCCTCGTCCTGGAAGGGGATCAGCTCGTCGTTCGCCCCGAGGTCGTCGCCGCCGCCGCCGCCGCCCGCCGCCCCGGCGCCCGCGCCGCCGCCCGCGCCGCCTCCCCCCGCGCCGCCGCCGCCGAGCTGGGGCATGGTGGGGCCGCGGGCCGGGGCCGCCGCTCTCCGCGCCCGGCCCCGCGCCCTCCCGCCGCCTCGCCGCCGCCGCCGCAAAGTTTGACAGGGCGCGGCCCGGCGGGCAGCGGGGCCGGCTGGGCCCCTCCGGCAGCGCCGAGCTCGGGGCTCCCCAACTCGCCGCCGCCGCCGCCGCCTGCTCCGCCGGGGCGTCCCAGCGCCTGGCCCGCCGGGGAGGGGCGAGCCGGGCAGGAAGGAGGGACCGCCGGGCCGGGCAGGGGGGCCGGAGGGAGGAGCCCCGGCTGCAAGCTGACACCCGCGCGCCGCGCGCTCGCACACTCGCACTCACGCTCGCACACCCGCGCTCGCACCTTCCGGGGGCCGCGTCTCCCCCGCCCGACCCGGGCCCGGACCCCCGCCGCCCGGGGCGCCCGGGTCCCCCGCGCCGCTGGGGGCCCGCGCCCCGGGCCCCCGCAGCATCCCCGAACTTTCTTCCAGCTACGCCCGGCTCGGGCCGCACACCCCCTCCTCCCACGGCCCGTGTCGGCTCGGGGCCGGGCGGCACTGCCCCCCTGCGGGAAAACTTTGCACGGCCGGCCGGGACCTCCTCGGCGCGCCGGAGCCCGCGCGCGGAGCCGCATCCCGGGAACTGCTCCACCCGGCCGTGCGCCCACGGCCTGCCGCTCCGCGTTCCCGCGGGGGCCCCTGGAGCGCCCTGCGCCCCAGCCCAACTTTTCGACCTCGTCCAAATCTTTCCAGTCCGCTCCCCCGACCACCCGGCGATCTCAAAGATCACATTCGCGCACGCACGCTCGCAGAGTTACGTCCGTAATGGAACGACTCTCCTCCTGGAGTTCATAAAGGATTCGGATCTGATTCCTTTGACGGACCAGAGTCGACCCAGTGACCCGTGAAGCGGTTTGCGAGGCTGGTGGTTTAGCCCAGGAGCAGAAGACGAAGGCGCAACCACCCTTGTACTTAAAGGCGTGCCTATTACACTAACATCAAAGTATTGTATGCACTGGGGGGCTGGAGAGATAGGGCGCTTGCCTTGCACGTGGCTGACCCGGTCCCACGCCCGGCATTCATATGGTCCCCCATCACTGCCAGAAGTGATTCCTGAGCACAGTGCAGAAATAAGTCCTGAGCACCGCAGGTGTGGCCCAGGCACCCCCCACCCCCTATTCCTTCCCTCACTTTTTCATTTTTGCTTTTAGAAAAGAGCACGCATTTGTTTCTTTTTAAGTTTTTTTTTTTTTATCATTTCGGTAGGGCTCTTACTCCTGAGCTGCTCAGGGGACAGATATGGTGTGATGTATTGAACACAGGTTGGCAGTGTGCAAGCCACTGTGCTATTTCTCCAGTCCCATCCTTTTAAATTTAAAATAAATGTTATGTTGAACTGGAGAGATAGTACAGGAGTTAAGGTGCTTGCCTTGCATTCTGCTGAACCCCAGTTTTACTATCAGTACCAGATATGGCTTCCCCATAAGCACTGCCAGGAGTAAGCCCTGAACACAGCAGGGTGTGGCCCCAAATCCTCCACACCCCCCTAATAAAAGATCCTCTTTCCTTCCCACAACTCCCTCAAAAGCTAAGCAGTTCTAAGCTCATGTAAACACTTTGACAAATATTCAGATTAACTTGGTGGCGGCACATCTGGTGGTGCTCAGGGGCTGTTTCTGACTCTTTGCTCAGGAGTGACCCCTGGTGGTGCTTGGAGGACCATGTATAGTGCCATGGGTCAAACCATACCACTCTCTGCCAAGGCAAATGCCTGGACTATCTCCTCCTATTTACTTTTACATAAAAAGTGCTATACTGGGTTGGAATAAAGTACAGAAGGTAGGGCTTGCCTGTTCAATCACCCACACCCTGCTAGGGGTGAGCCTTGAGCACAGAGGGAGGAATGAAGAAGCCCTGAGAGCCACCCCCCCAAAAAAAAAAACCTAAAGAAAAAGTGCTATATTGCTCATATTAGTGTATAGTATTTTTTTGGGGGGTCACACCCGGCATTGCACAGGGGTCACTCCTGGCTCATGCACTCAGGAATTACTCCTGGCAGTGCTCAGGGGACCATATGGGATGCTGGGAATTGCAAGGCAAACGCCCTACCCGCTGTGCTATAGCTCCAGACCGGTCAGGGTCCTCCCGTTGTTCATTGATTTGCTCGAGCAGGCCCAGTAACATTGTGAGACTTGTTACTGTGTTTGGCATATGCAATACGACACGGGGAGCTTGCCAGGCTTTGCCGTGCAGGCGAGATACTCTCGGCAGCTTGCCGGGCTCTCCGAGAGGGGCGGAGGAATCGAACTCGGGTCGGCCATCTTGGCTGCGTGCAAGGCAAACGCCCTACCCACTGTGCTATTGCTTCAGCCCAGCTCCAGACCAGTGTATAATATTAGCGGGTAGGGCGTTCGCCTTACAAGCGGCCAACATGGCCGACCCGAGTTCGATTCCTCCGCCCCTCTCGGAGAGCCTGGCAAGCTACCGAGAGTATTCGATATGCCAAACACAGTAACAACAAAGTCTCCAATGGAGACGTTACTGGGCCCGCTCGAGCAAATCGACGATCAACGGGAGGGCCTTTACCTTTACCTTTACCTATGAAAATTTAAAATTATGCCCATCAATCCTAGGGTACTGTTCCCTACCTTGTTGCTTGAGGATCACTCCTGGTGGTACTGGGGGTGGAAACTGGGGCCTGGGCATGCAAAACACACATGCCAGTTCTTCGAGTCATCTCCCCCAATCTAAAAGTCATTCATTTTTCTCATGTGCTTCATAAACATATGAAAAGTCTAATGCTTTAGTGTCCCCCCGTTGGTGTGACAAATCACTATGAACAGTGCCTGTAAAAACCAGAAATGCATTCTCCCACTGGTTTGGAAATTGGACCTCTGAAATCAAAGTCAATTAAAATCAAGATGTTAGGGCCTTGTTCTGTCCCAGGTTCACAGGAGAATCTATTCCTTGTTCCTCTCATTTCTAGTGGCTCCCCTAGATCTCTCAGCTCTCCACTATCTGTTCCTGTGGTCCTCTCCTTTGTCTATATCACATCTCTCTGTCTCCTATAAGAAAGAGGGGCTGGAGCTATAGCACAGGGGGGAGGACATTTGCCTTGCATGTGGCCAACCCGGGTTCAACTCCCAGCATCCCATATGGTCCCCCGAGCACAGCCAGGAGTAATTCCTGAGTGCAGAGCCAGGAGTAACCCCTGTGCATCACCAGGTGTGGCCCAAAAAGTTAAAAAAAAAAAAAGAGGGGCTGGAGCGATAGCATAGTGGGTAGGGCATTTGCCTTGCATGCGGCCAACCCATGTTCGATTCCCAGCATCCCATATGGTCCTCTGAGAACTGCCAGGGGTAATTCCTGAGTGCAGAGCCAGGAGTAACCCCTGTGCATAGCCAGGCGTTACCCAAAAAGAAAAAAAAAGAAAGAATACTGGGGGATCCCCTATGGTCCACCCCAATAATACTGTATAATTCCAGCAAGACCAGATCCTTAGTCCCATCTGCAGTGATCCCTGCTTAGAAGGAAATGTCCATGGGCTCCTGGCACAGGCATGAGACATCGTTAACTACTGCACCTATCATTCTGGAAGGGAAGTAAATTGACACCTCACAGAGATACCGTTTTCCACCTATCAGATTGGCAAAGGTAGAAAAGAATAGCAGAACCCAGGAATGGCCCCGTGAGGGAAACTCACAGCTGCTGGCATGTGGTTGTGTAAGAGTTCTGAGGGAAGTTTGGCAATACTAAGGAAAAACATTTAAAAGTGCAAACCTTTTGACTCATCTGGTGCTTCGAGGATTTTAGACTAAGGAAATAACCAGGTGCACAAGTCAACCCACAGTGGTGTGCTCATGAGGAAGCTAGAGGCAATTCCAGGATGGCCCAATGGGAAATCGTGGCATGTTCATCCAATAGGATGATGAGACATTGTGCAAGTAGGTGTTTCGAAGTGTAGAGAGGCTCAGGTTAGTCTTACAGATTAAAAGTTATAGATAAAAGCAATATTGGGGGGGTAGGGCAGAGAAATAGTACAGTGAGTAAGGCTTTTTGTCTTGCACGTGGCCACCCCAGGTTCAATTCCCAGCATCCCATATGGTCCCCTGAGCACTGCCAGGAGTAATTCCTGAGTGCATGGCCGGGAGTAACCCCTAAGCATCACCTGGGTATGGTCCAAAAAACAAAGAAACAAAAAAGCTATATCTATCTATCCATCTATATTTTTCTTTTTGGATCATAGCCGCCTATGCACAGGGGTTACTCCTGGCTCTGCACTCAGGAATTACTTCTGGCGGTGCTCAGGGGACCATATGGGATGCTGGGAATCAAACCCAGGTTGGCTGCATGCAAGGCAAACACCCTACCTGCTGTACTATCAAAAGGCAATTTGGGGGCCCAGAGAGTGCAGCAGGGGCTAAGGCTCTTGCCTTGCATGCCCCTGACCCCAGTTCCAGCCTTAGAACTTCTGAGCAAAATATCAGGAGTAGCCCCCAGCATTGTTGCTGTAGGCCAAGCCCCCTCCCCACCCAAAGTAATATACAAGATGTCTGTTTCCCATTTTCGTGGAATATTTTTTGTTCTTTATCTGGCCATCTCAGGGCTCATTCTCATGGCCCTCTAATGGAGTAATAATGTCACAATGACACTTCCATGAAGAATAGCTATGAGACCTGGAGAGAGAGGACAGAGAGTAGGGCTTGTGGTTTTGATCCCTGGCACAACATATGTTCCACTGAGACCCACCAGGAACGATCCTGAGCACACAGCCAGGTGTAAGCCCTGAGCAGCACTGGGAATGGCAAAAAAAATAGCCCTCATAGCTCTCATTGGAGATAAGATTGTGATAAGGTAGTAGCTTTCCATGTGCCTAACCTCAGTTTAATCCCCAGCACCATATACAGTTCCCCAAACACCTCCAGAAGTGATCCCTGAGCACAGACCCAGGAGTAAACCCTGCGTATCTCTAGGTATAACCCAAAATCCTTCCGCAACGATCACGATCACGACCATCCTGTTGTTCGTCGATTGCCTCGAGCAGGCCCCAGTAACGTCTCCTTTGTCCTAGCCCTGAGATTTTTTTAAAACTGCCATATTCAAGGTTCTTTCAGGGTTAGGAGAATAAGACCCATCATTGTTACTGGTATTTGGCATATTGGCCACGGGGAGTTTGCCAGACTCTGCTGTGTGAGCAGGTTACATTCGGTAGCCTGCCAGTTTGTCCAAAGTAAGAATGAGATAAAAATATGTCGCGCAGCCTCGAATGTGGCCGTGCGCTTCCGGGAGCTGGGTTTTATAGTCTTTGGGTCTTGGCCGTTGATGGGATTAAATGGCACCAGTTGGTGGGTGTGACCCCTGCCTACTGGAATATGGAGGATCTGGGTGGAGGATGCTCAGTCCCA